GAAAAGAAAAGAAAAGAAAAGAAAAGAAAAGAAAAGAAAAGAAAAGAAAAGAAAAGAAAAGAAAAGAAAAACAACCTTCTCTCTGTCCCCCAAAAGAAGTAAGGTGGAGAATAACCAATTCTGACATCAACCTCTCTCTCTCTCTCTCTCTCTCTCTCTCTCTCTCTCTCTCTCTCACACACACACACACACACACACACACACACACCCATGTGCACATGAATACAAACACCACATGCACAGAAAAATAATTTTTCAAACATCATAACAAAATTTATCTTTCATACATCCTTTTCTGGAAGCTACTGGATGATGCCTATAAAACAGAAAAGTAACCCAAAGTAGAATAAAAGAGACGGGGGAAAAAACAGAAAAGAGGATATACAAAATCAAAGGAAAATAAAATAATGTCCTTGTGATGATTCCAGGATGATGGCCATGTCTCAAGTGCAGCAAACAACAATGGTCCAGTTGAATGTTGGTGACTCAAGGGATTAGTGTCTTGCAGAATACTTATCAGTGAGTCCTTTGACATCATATCATCTTTTCAGTCACAGGAACCTATTAAAAATGTGATTTCTTAAAGCCCATGAGTAAATAGGAAAACAGAAAGACACCAAAAAAATCAAAATGGGAAATTTAACTAGAATAAAAGATGAAGAATCTCTTGATGACAACAGTGAGAAGTTCCATAATGGCAGTTGTATAACAGATGTGGAAAGCAATCGTCCAATTTAAAGGGGAACTGGTATCTTGGAAACATGGGAGTCACCACGTGCAGAATTGTACTGGGAGGCAATTGGAATCATGAGAAGACATGGATAAATACTATTGGTACAAGGCAATTATTAATGTCAAGAAAATAAGTGTGGAAAGCATAGTTATTACAAAGCAATGTTCCTGACACACTGAAAGTAAAAATAGGCACGAAAGAGTTCAGATTTAATCTAACTTACCTAGGAGTCAGTTGATAACGTGTGAGCCTAACATATATTTTAAAATATCAGTGGCAGAGGAGGTGATTAAAAATGACTGCATCTTGGGAGAGAAACAGAGAAGAGGTGAGAAGGCAGGTATCACTATATTTTAAATCTTTTAGTGTTTGATTTTTAAAAAATAAAGGTTACATTTTATTCTGGGGTAACATGAATTTTAAAATGTCAATAACCTGGAGTTCTTACAAGTCTCATCACCAGTAGAAGGCAGATAGGATATGAGTCATTGCTGATGATAATAGGAAAAAGGTAAATAATGTTAACAAATGTGAAAACTAGAAAAAAAATGACTTTTAATAAAAGGGAAGGTGCCTATAAAATTCTGAACAGATATAACTCAGAGCAGAATGGACAAGATAAAGATCTACCAATGAAGGCACTGAACTCGGACAGTTTAAGAGGCAAATTGCAATTAAGCATGCAGAAGAAAACAATATGCCTATGTTTGTTCTTGTCTGCAAAAATAGATGGAAAGCTTCCTCACTCTTCTGTGAGGCCAGGATGACAACCTACTACCCAAACCATGTAAGTTAAGCATGAAGAGAGACTTAAAAGTAGGATAACATATCAAATGCACCTGTGCATCAAAACTAGTTCGTCGTGGTTAAGTTTAATTTATGTTAAGGACACAAGGCTTTAAAAGCTAAGTAACACATGGACAATTTAAAGAAATATTCAAAAAACATTTTGTATAAGCAAAAGAAAACATTCTTGATTTTAAAGTCTCAGCTGGGCAGTGGAGGCACACACCTTTAATCCCAGCACTTGGAAGGCAAAGGCCCAAGGATGTCTGTGAGTTCGAGGCCAGCCTGGTCTACAGAGTTCCAGGACAGTCAGAGCTGTTACTCAGAGAAACCCTGTATTGAAACAAACAAACAAAAATCTCAGTGTTTTTTCTTTGAGAGCAGCTGTCATAAACATGGAATATCAAAGCACTTCATCAAATGTAAATCTGACCTATTTGCTACAGCCAGTATTAGGGCTGGTATTAGAGATCGTGGCAATTAATACCAATATATAGTACTTAGGGCAGATGGAGTGTAAAAATTGTGGAGAAAAAAAGTATTATAGAAAGTATAGAAGAGGAGTGAAGACCTTGGAAGTGGAAAAATTATCCAATTCACAAGAAACTGGAAAAAAAAACCTAGTCCTGTGTTAGTATTCATTATTGCTAAGTGGTTTACAAATAACACATTTGTTGACTTCTTGGTGGAGGTTTGTTTCTCTTTTATAATCTTTACCGGCAACTTTTAAGACAGATTTTTAGATTTTTCTTAAATTTTGGTGGAGAATGGGAGTTTAATGTAAATCCTGGGGCAGAATGCCTTTAATCGGCCATCTTTCTGCTGTATTCTTGAGGAAGGCAATAGCACGTATACAACGCAAGGTGGCGCTGCAGGCTAAAAAGAGGAAAGGGAAGAGACGGGAAGTGGGGAACCGCACAAAGAATAGTCTAGGTTTCCGACAAAGCCATAGGAAATGATATAACGGCAGCAAGCGCTGGGATACGGTGCCTCTCTCCTTTCACAGGAATTGCTAGTGTCCAGATCATTCCTAAGGATTCCAAGCTGCTTGCATTCCAGGGAGCTGCTTGAGGCTAAGCAGAAGGATTTTTGTTTTTATTTTGAACGTCTGAGAAAGAATGGAGGCCAGATTGGAGCGAGCTGTGCAGAAAAGGCAAGTACTGTTTCTTTGTGTATTTCTGGGAGCGTCCTGGGCTGGCGCCGAACAGCTTCAGTATTTTGTGGAGGAGGAAACGGAGAGAGGGACGCCCCTGGCCAATCTAGCTAAGGATTTGGGGTTGGGGCTGGGGGAACTGTCAGCTCGAGGGGCTAGAATTGTTTCAGACCGGAACACGGGGTTTTTACTGCTCAGTTCGCTTACGGGGGACTTAATTCTAAATGAAAAGCTGGACCGGGAGGAACTGTGCGGCCCCACGGAGCCCTGTGTGATGACTTTCCAGTTGCTGTTGGAAAATCCATTTCAGATTCATCGGGCTGCGCTGCATGTCAGAGATATAAATGATAATTCCCCAGTATTTCTAGACAAGGAAATTCCCTTGAAAATATCAGAAAGCACAACTCCGGGGGCGACGTTTCTCTTGGAGAGGGCGCAGGATTCCGATGTGGGGACGAACGGCCTGAGTAACTACATCATCAGTCCCAACGCGTATTTCCACATTGACGTGCATGGTGGAGGGGAGGGCACTGTCTTTCCCGAACTGGTACTGGATCAAACGCTGGACCGAGAAGAAACAGCAGAGGTCACTTTAACGCTCACAGCCTTAGATGGTGGATCTCCGCCCAGATCCGGGACAGCCCTGGTTCGAATCCTGGTGTTAGACATAAATGACAACTCGCCCGAGTTCGTGCAGTCCCTCTACAGAGTACAGCTACCTGAAAACACCCCGGTTGGCTCCTTGGTTGTTGCTGTGTCCGCCAGGGATTTAGACACGGGAAGTTACGGACAGATAGCATACGCGTTTTTCTATGCCACTGAAAGAATTCTCCAAACGTTTCAAATCAATTCTACAACCGGCCATCTTTATCTTAAAGCTGAGCTCGACTACGAAGCAATTCAGACTTACTCGATAACTATACAGGCCAAAGATAGCGGGGGACTTTCTGGAAAGTGCACTGTGGTTGTGGAGGTACTGGATGTAAATGATAACCCACCTGAACTTCTCATGTCTTCGCTTACTAGCCCAATTGCTGAAAACTCACCAGAGACGGTCGTTGCTGTTTTTAGAATTAGAGACAGAGATTCAGGAAACAATGGGAAAACCATGTGCTCCATTCCACATGATCTCCCTTTTGTCCTGAAGCCATCCGTGGAAAATTTCTATACTTTAGTAACAGAGATGCCTTTAGATAGGGAATCGCACTCTGAGTACAACATCACCATCACAGTCACCGACATGGGCTCACCCAGGCTCACAACACAGCACACCATAACAGTGCAGGTGTCCGATGTCAACGACAACGCCCCAGCCTTCACACAAACCTCCTACACCCTATTTGTCCAGGAGAACAACAGCCCCGCCCTGCACATAGGCACCATCAGCGCCACAGACTCAGACTCAGGCTCCAATGCCCACATCACATACTCGCTCCTGCCCACCCACAACCCGCAGCTGGCCCTCGCCTCTCTAATCTCCATCAATGCTGACAACGGGCAACTGTTCGCGCTCAGGGCGCTGGACTATGAGGACCTGCAAACCTTCGAGTTCCACGTGGGCGCCACAGACCAAGGCTCTCCTGCGCTCAGCAGCCAGGCACTGGTGCAAGTGCTGGTGCTGGACGCCAACGACAATGCGCCCTTCGTGCTCTACCCGCTGCAGAACGCCTCTGCACCCTACACAGAGCTGCTGCCCAGGGCGGCAGAGCCAGGCTACCTGGTCACCAAGGTGGTGGCAGTGGACCGCGACTCTGGACAGAATGCCTGGTTGTCATTCCAGCTGCTCAAGGCCACAGAGCCTGGGCTGTTCAGCGTGTGGGCTCACAATGGCGAGGTGCGCACCTCCAGGCTGCTGAGTGAGCGCGATGCTCCCAAGCACAGGCTGCTGCTGCTGGTCAAAGACAATGGAGATCCTCCAAGGTCTGCCAGTGTCACTCTGCATGTGCTGCTGGTGGATGGCTTCTCTCAGCCCTACCTGCCTCTGCCAGAGGTGGCGCGCGACCCCGCCCAGGACAATGACGACTTGCTCACACTGTACCTGGTCATTGCCTTGGCTTCTGTGTCTTCCATCTTCCTGTTGTCTGTGCTGCTGTTCGTGGGGGTGAGACTGTGCAGGAGGGCTAGGGGGGCCTCTCTGGGTGGCTGCTCTGTGCCTGAGGGACACTTTCCTGGCCACCTGGTGGATGTCAGCGGCGCCGGAACCCTGTCCCAGGGCTACCAGTATGAGGTATGCCTGACTGGAGAGTCAGGGATAACCAGCGAATTTAAGTTCCTAAAACCAATTGTTCCCAACTTTCTAACCGAAAGCATGGGGAGAGAAATAGAATAAAAACTAAAGATTTCTACCTCTGGATGCAGCCCTAATTTAAAGCATGCCCTTGTTGAGTGTAGGAGAATGATTTTATGCTAACATCTCAAGGTTAATTAAATTAGTTCAGAAAAGACTTCCTTTGGTTATTCTCAAGAACTTTCTCTAAAGCATGAAATGCATGGGTTGTAGGCTATCTCAAATTTAATTTGATCCCTCTTTGTTTTTAAGCTTTTGTTGAAATGCAATCTATTAAATGACAAATCTTGCTAAGGATGGTTTCAATTGTTTTTCCATCATGTAATTTCTTCACTGATACTTATGTCCTGAGTTGATTGGAATCACATGTAGAAATCCCTACCTTATATTTGGGGAGGTTATACCACACAGACTTTTTAAAAGTTTCTTTAGTAATTACTGTGCATAGTACATAATTTCATCACTTTTTGGAGACATGGTCTCCCTGTGTTCAGGATGGCCTTGAACTCTTGATCCTCCTGCCCAAAGTGCTGGACTTACAGGCATCAGCCTATTTCACTACTTTATTTCAGAAGAAACCAGTGAGTAGCCACATTTCAATAACAAGCAAGTAGACATTCACAGAGACTTGGTTAAGTTCCACATTTATTAACTAGCAAAGCAGAGTACCTCCTAATATTTTCTGTTTTGTTTTTCTTATTTGACATGTGAAAGAGTCCTCATTCTGTTCATCTCCAGGCAGGTGACCTTGCAACAATATTATGCTGTTTTCTATCATTAGATATTATCTGTCATACATTGCTCACTGGTCTCTCCTGTGTTCAGAAATAGCAATGCTCCCCTTGGCCTGTAGTCCCATTTTCTTATAAACTGACAATCCCTCTTTGGGGGTTTATTACCCAACTATTATTAAAGCTGTGACTTAACTAAATCTCAGTTCTAAAAAATGTTTGGTTCTGGGCATGGTAGAACATGTCTTTAATTCCAGCAGTTAGGAGGCACATACAGGGGGATCTCTATGGGTTTGAGACCAGCCTATTATACAATGAAAGTTCCATGACAGCCGAGGCTGCATAGAGAGACTCCTGTCTCAGAAGATGGAGGAGAAGAGGAGCAGGAGGAGGAGGAAGGGGTGGAAGAAGAGGTATGGAACAACATCTATTTCTCATTTGTAAGACAGGAGTCCTCAGCAATCCTAGGACCTAGATTCTAATACCTCATCTATAGATGAGGAAAGTAAGGTGGAGAGGGTAAATAAATTTCCCAAGGATCACAACTGTTTCTGTGGTTCACCACAATAAAATATATAATTCACAAAATCTTCTGTTTCTAGAAAAATGCATGCACACATATGTGTATATTTCTTGCATCTATTTTTCCTCCTGGGTGTTATTTAAATATGTACCCTTTGTTCAAAGCTCAATTAGCATTACTGAAAGCATCTCCACCAATGTCATTTCTCTTGTGTGGCTTTCGGGCAGTTGTCTGCCCCAGAAGGCAAAGCAGTAGGAGAAGTAATGCAGCCTTACCTTGCCCACTGCCAGATACAGGCAGCTTTAGGCTTTTTACATCCATATTCATCCCACAAAATGTTAATACACAGTGCGAACACATGGCGGCGCTGTAGGATAAGAAAGAAAAACTAGAAGGCAGCTGTAGCTCCATTAACAGGATTTAAAAAAAAAAAAAAGGAAAGGGAAAGAAGAAACCTTCTGAAGCCTGGAAGCCCAGAGAAGCTCCGACACTTCAGAGAGAAGGTCTGTGCCCTCAGGAACGGACTGGAATAATTCTCAGGTATCTAGTGAATAACTACAGTACCTGATACCAGGGAGAATTTACAGTTTTGCTGAAACATCCTCCAGGACGCTGCACCACCACAAACAATGGAGGCCAGCAGGAAGCTCCCTTGCAGACAAAGGCAAGTCCCTTTTTTCTTTTTCCTATTAGGATTGTCTCTGGCAAGTGCCGGGGAACTGAGGCGCTATTCTGTGGTGGAGGAAAGGGAGGGCAGGTCCTTTGTAACCAATTTAGTAAATGACCTAGGTCTCAGGCAGCTAGAGCTCTCCAGACGAGGGGTTAAGGTCGTTTTGAAAGGGAACAAACTGCATTTGCAGCTGGATCAGGAGACGGGGGATTTGCTACTAACTGAGAAAGTGGACCGGGAGGAACTGTGTGGGCACACAGAGCCATGCCTGCTGCGTTTCCAAGTGCTGCTTGACAATCCCTTACATATTTTCCAAGCTGAGCTGGAAGTTACAGACATAAACGACCATTCTCCAGCATTCCTGGACAAAGAAATCATGCTAAAGATATCAGAAAGCAGTCTTCCTGGGACTACATTTCCTCTGAAGAACGCTCAGGACATGGATGTGGGTCAAAATGGCATTGAAAACTACCTTGTCAGTTCCAATTCCTATTTCCACGTGCTTACTCGAAAACGCAGCGATGGCAAGAAATA